AGTCACAGAGGGTAGCTTTTTCCTTGAGCTGGGAGCTATGTCCTGAGAGGCACAAAACCAAGATGTTACATCATCGTTTGCAAGCTGGGGAGTTAACTTGGGGATAAACACATCCTGCCTGCCTTTTCTAGGGCCCTTCTTTGCCATGTGGTGTGTGTTACTTTCTGCCTCAAATAGCAAGGTGGTTAGTGGCTTCTGTCATGGCATGTAGGATTAGTGATGTGTTGGTCACAGTGGACCCCAGCACTGCTGAATGTTTAATGCACTGAACTACCAGAAACCAAACTGGCCTGTAAGCAGAGTGGGAAGAACAGAACAATTCTCTGACTCAGACCCTACCAGAGAGGAGCAGGTAAAGGCTGTGAGTGCTGTGACCACAGCTGGGTTTTGGGATGAAGGCTGCTGCTGTCTTTGGTCACCTTGAGGTGAAGGCTGGCGAAGGTCTGTGCTGGAAAACCAGTAGGGAATTTGGGTCCAGCAAGAGCTGCGTCAGTACTGTGAGGAAAGGTTGCTGACTCAGCCCTTGTGCAAGGCTTGTCTGTAATATTTGGGTATTTCCCTAGATTTTTTTCTTTCCAAATTGCCAGCTTCCCTTCCTCTTACAGAAATTATACTGTGCTGGCTTAACGAGGTGCTGAGGAGGTAGAATTTACTGTGTGTAAGGCTGTCTGTAAGAAACTCATGGTTTTGGTTCCCTTTCAGTGCCTGCTTTGCTGTGTCCTGTGTGCTGATCGCGTATGGTGCCAGTAACCCAGACTGTAAGTAAACATTTCTCTGAGCTGGGAGGGCTTTGGGGCTGTGGCTTGGGGTTTTTTTGGGGAAGCAGACAAGTATGTGTGGTGCTGCATGCTCTGTCACACCTGCAGACTGTCACACCTCCAGTGCTGTACTGGGGTCTCGCTGAGGATACAAACTGAGCATCTGGGGGACTGTGGGAGCTACCTGGCTCTGGAGAAGGCTGGTGTTTCACAACCCTAAGTGGAGAGCATAGCAAGGGCCAAATGTCTGAGATAGCCAGGTCTCTCAGCTTTGTGTTTGGGCAGGGCTAGATCCTGTAAAGGAGCAATTCCAAACAAGTTCATGGCTTTCTCAGGGTTGGGAAATACACAGTGTGTAATCGGCTTTCTCACCAGGGATAGATAGAGCTTGCTTCTCAAGACCAGATAGTGGGATGACACTTTGAATCCAGTTCTTTCAAGTAAATCTTCCTTTTAAGACCCATTCAGACAAGCTGCATCAGCAAGTCTGTTCATGACAAAAAAGGAGACTCATCCATCCTGGAGACAGATAATCCCACCCTGAACTCTTTCTTGGAGAAGAGCCCTGGCCATCCCCCTCTTTGTAGCTGAGGAGATGGGTGCTGGGTCAGGAACAGCATGGCGTGTCTTGAGGGTCTTGATCCACTGAGATTTTTACATGTCAGGAGCAAAGCCCTGAGGGCTCTGTCTCCTTTCTCTCTCCACCCCAGTAAAGGCTAAGGGTGTTTTTTTATCCCTGCAGCTCTGTCTGTGCTGATATTCATTGCGCTGGCTCTGAATGGCTTTGGTGGGATGTGTATGACCTTCACATCGCTTACGGTAAGTGAAGAATTATTACCCAACTCTATTTTATTCCTTACTATGGTTGTGAGCTGGGCTAGCAGGAAGGAATAAAGTGGATCTTTTGCCTGTGGCTTGAATAGCACATGGTTGTTTGGTACAAAGGGTCAGTCAGTCTTTTACCTGAAAGGCTGACTACTAGGTGGTTATTCTAAGGGTTTTTTTCCCCCCCAGTCTTTTTTTAACCTGCCCCTTGCATCTCAGGTGAAGATGGAAGGGGAAAAAATGGAAGCATTTTTGTCTAGGACTCAAATTGTCCTATACCTGTACATGCAGTGCTCAGCTACCTGGCACAGGCTGGACAGGTGTTTGCACTGGTTTGGCATTGACCTGCTGCAGGAGGAATCAGCAGAGCCCCAGCCCCTGCAGCTGGGTAGGACCAGCTTTCTGCAAGTGCAGTTTGCATCTCACCCCAGGGAAGTTCTTGAATACAAAAGCTTTTACTCTCAGAAGAGTGAGAGTCCCTTCCAGGTTTCCTTAGAAATGCTGCATTGTTGAATGCACCCAGCTCCATCTGTACTGGTCAACAACTGTCAGCTGGATCTCTACATTTTGGGGTGGTTCTTGCCTGGAGACAGAAGCAGTATCATTCTCCAAGTAGCTGCTTTATTTTCTACCTCTGATCCTTGTCAATGTGTCTGAAACAGGGCTGTGTGGAAAGTCTCCCAGAAACAGTCTGGGAAGCACTGATGATTCTTGAGCTGTGGTTGAAAACTTTCAGATTTCGACTGCATCACCTTGAACTTGTTGTTGAAGTAAAACTTTCTGTTAAGGTTACCAGCTTAGACACTGGCTGAACAAGGCTCAGACTTTGGCTGAACTCCCAAGACCTAAATTTGGCATAGTCTGGGTTTACAGATCACTCTGTGTACTGTGATGTTGCTGCCACTGTTGCTTTCATATATTCAAAGCTTTCAAAACTCTGTGCAGATGTCGGTCTCTCTTTCGTATGTAGTGTTCTTCACTGGAAGCCTTGGCTGTGGTCCCAAAGGACTATGGGGTAAATGTCATCATGCCACACTTCAAATAAAAACAAGGAAGAGAGAAACACATCAGTACTGCTGTGGGAGAGGAAAGCATTCCCATCCTGCTGCTGCCAGCATTGGTTACTGTCTCTCTGGGTGGTTATTAAGGGGTCACAGGTTATGTTGGACCCACGATGATAGGAAGGGGGGTAAAGATATGGCAGGAATATATTGGCTGTGCTGTACTGTGGCTTTTAGCACCAGATGTTAGCAAAGCCACTTATTAGTGCCCTAATTAGTGAGCCAGTTCTGCAGCACTAAGGAAGTACAGCGGCAGGAAAAAGGTCAAATATTCCAAGAAGAGATCCAAGCCTTGAGGAGGTCTGAAGCAAGTAATGATGCTGTGAGTTCACACAGGGAGACCTCAGGTGGAACCCGTCCCCTCCAGACAGCAGTGTGTTTTGTAAAGAGCTGAGGTGGCTTCAGGCCTGACTTCTGAAATCCAAATTCAGATGGAGCTACGTATGCCTCCCTGCAGAGCAGCACAGGGGCATTTTGGTACCTGAGGCATGTGAATGTCATTAAAAATAGTTGAAAGTGGGAGGGAAGCACTTCACCAGCATCACAGTGTAGCTGTGGTGGTGACTGTTAAAAGCAGGTGTATTTTGCTCGTTGGCAGCTTGCTGTTTTGTCCCTGTGTGGTTCTGCCTGCAAGCTGGGGTGCTCACAGTTGGTCTGTCAAGAGCTATCTTCTGCAGTGACATGGTGATCCCTTGTGGGTCCCTTCCACCTGTGGCCCATAGAAACAGGGAGTGTGGTAAGGGAGGGACATAGCGATAGTAGGTCCGTGGCTTGTGGGCTCTGGGTGGTGTGGCTTGCACGTGTTGTGCTCAGGAGAGGCTGAAGGAAGTGCTGGAAGGGGAGACTCAAAGCCCTTTTTGAGGGCGTTCATTATGCAGAGGTGATGAGCACTAATCAACTTCTGGTGCCAAGTGAGCTCTTTCTGGCTGACACAGGCAATGGCTGCCTAGGACACACGTGCACGCACAAGTCAAAGCAAGGTGACTCCCTTCTCCTGCCAGCTGCAAGTGACCTGAAGTGCTCCAGGAAATGGGTCAAACCTCCTGGTGTGTGAGCTGATCCTCTGCCACCCCAGGCAGGTTCCATTTGCTGCTTTATAGCAGGGTGGCTGTGAAGGGAGTCCCTGCAGCGTGTGTGGTTGGGATGCTCCTCAGGTGCTTCATCAGGTGTTGAAACCTCACAGAACACATGTGTGGGCATGGTGTGATCTGATGGAAGTGCAGGAGATGGGGATCCTCAGTGCCTGTGCAAGGGATAAACAGGATCTCTGGGGATTATTACAGCTTGGGACAGTACTCCATGAAGCTTTGCCTCTTGGGTTTAAAGCCTTTTTCAGTAAGAAGTCCCCAGGGTATCATGAAAGAACATGACAAGCTGCAGAGCCAAAGCAAGCTGCTGTTCCTGGGTGCCTTGTGTTGTGGCTTGGGGAGGAGGGGAAGCAAGTGAGCGGTGCTGTTCCCAGTTCTGGGAACAAGGTCAGACTGTGCCTGTTGTTAAAATGCAGAGGGGAGATTTCTGCCTCGTGACTTGGTCTTAGCCAATATAAGTGAAGATTGGAAATGGAAACAGATCCGTGTTGGTGGCTCTGACAGCAACACAGGAATCTGGCGCTGGTTCTGTGCCGAAGCTATTTCATGCAAAGAAATAAACATGTGTGATAAATTATCACAAAGAGCCTTTTATAGATTGTTTTTTGTCCTGTTTTCCTTTCAAAGAATTACAGCTGCTTTGCTTTTATTTTCTGCTACAAACAGCACCCTTTAATCGACCGGTGGGGGGGGGAATCTCAGTGGAGGGAATATGCTCAGAAATATTAGGAAAACCTTAGGGCTCTGTGATCTTTTGTTTGTTGGAGAATGGGAACAGGAATTCCATATGCTTTGGACAAAGCAGGCAGTTGAGGCTTTCCTGGAGAACATATTTTTAGTGTCTGTAAAACTTCCAAATAGACCCCTGATAGGGAAAACAAAGTTTAGCTTGAACAAAAGTACCATTCTGCAGTGGTCTAGTTCTCAATCCCATGACTTTTCCCACTGTTCTTTTAAACAGCCCTTGCAGGAGAGGGGAAACTGGGTTTGGTAATACTGCTGTGGTATCTGTTATATATGGATTGTTGCCAAGAAAAAACTGAAAAAAAGTTATTGAAAAAAGATCAAAGGTCTTAAACTCACTAAAGGGCAAACGAGAAAATAATCTGCAAGAGGAAATTATTTTATTAGTTTAGGATTTCATACCTGTAATAAAGAATTCCAGGAAAAAATGCTTATCATGGCAAAATTAAGTTGGTATCTTTCAGATGGGGCATAAAGCTAATAATATATTGAGTATTATTGACCTTTAAACAGAAGGTGTAAGAGTTTCTGTCCTTCTAGGTCTTGTGGAATTGGGGCTGTCATACCAGAATGGGCAGATGTTAGTGGAGGAGTCCCTTCTGGCCTGCGGGGATAAGATCAGAATGAGGATCAGATCTTTTTGGTGGCAGAAAAACAAAGAGCCCACTTGCTTTGTGGCTTGGTTGTTGTAATTTTTTTTTCTCTCTATGGTTCACTTTTTCCAATGCTTGCTGCTATAAAGACAGCATGAAAAATGGCTTAGTAAATATTGTGTTATTTTAGTAGCTGGTCTGTTGATGAGACCTGCGCAAGCATTGCCAGTGCTGGTACTTGTAGTCCGAGAGGTTTTCTGTTTGGGTAGGGACTGCCTTTTCACTCCACATCCCCTCTGCCACCCCAGGTAGTCTCAGATTTCTTTTCCTCTCAAGTGCTCTGTGCTTGCAGTTTCTGCTTTGATTGGGTTGGATAAGGCCTTAAATCTCCTATGTCCAGTGTGTTTATTTTTTTTTTTATCTGGCTGCTTGTTTGGTGCCAAATAGGCTAGAGATTTCCTGAAATCCTTTCTAGGACTTCTGTCCCTGTCAAGGCAGAAGCAGACCTGGGTTTTCCTGGACATGACTGCTTGCTTTCAGGTCTGCTCTATGTCTCCAGTAGCCCTCAAAGCAGGAGGATCCACCTGGGAGTTGCTTTTCTGCTGTATGAAAAAGGCTTTTTGTGATTTCTGGGGCTCTGGGGAAAACCAGCCTGAGCCAAGAAGCAGCTGTGTTTGTGGAGCTCTTGCCCTGCTCTGAGCTCCCCAGCAGGAGCAGCTGTTTGTTGTAATTTCTGGCGATTATTTTAGGTTTGAGGTATTTGAGATTAAATGAATGCCCTGCCTGGTGACAATGACTAGCCTTTTTGCAACCTGCAGGTATTGTATTCTGAAGATGCTGTTTTCTGGGGTGTGTATTTAGGCCACTGCTTCCAAGAAGAGGGTTTTTTTTGTGCCTGGTAACAGACCTTTGGATCCTTTGCCGTTTCCTGTCTGCAGCTCCTGAAAGCAGCCTGTTGGCAGCTCTCCCGCATGCAGGGATCTGGGGATGGGTGTGGGGATCCTCGCTGCAGAGGAGCGCAGTGTTTTCTGCCTCTGCTGTCTGTGTCTGCTTGGGGTTCACCAGCAGCATCAGGCTCTGATCATCATTGCTGTTGTTCCCTGGCTTGGGGTTATTTGAGGACCTGGAGACTGCACTGCATAGGAAGTTCTGCAGTGAGACAGAGGGATGATAAATAGCCAGATGGATCCTAGAGTGTTCCTGCACAGGAATATTTGTGTTGTAAACACACTGGTCCTGCCCTGACACAAGCCAGATTTGCTTGCCTTATATGCTACTCCTGGGAAAGATGAATTTGTTTTTCACCAGTGGAAGGGGAATGTGATGACAGCATTTACTTGCTCAGGCTCTGTCTAATGTTCTCTGAATCATTTTGTTCACAGCATTTTTAAACAGATAAAATGCTGGTTATGCTTTCAGTCCTAGAAGGCACCTGCAGTGTCCTGGTTTGAGGCCCTCTGAGGCTGACGTGATAGTGATGCCCAAGTGAATTTGGGGAGTAAGTGACCTGAAAAAGGAGGTGGGAGGGAAATCTGTCTGCCTGCAGCAGAATCTCTGCCTGTTGACCAGCTTCAGGAGGTATCAGCTGAGCTCTCTGTAGCCTACAACTTCAAAGCTTTTCCCTGGAATTTCTAGTTTGCAGACCATCATTAGTTGGTGATGGAAGTGTTCAAGGCCAGGTTGGATGAGGCTCTGAGCAACCTGGTCTAGTGGAAGGTGTCCCTGCTGATGGCAGGGGGGTTGGAACTGGATGAGCTTTAAGGTCCCTTCCCACCCAAACCATTCTATGAATCTGTGGAAACCTGTTCACTTCTGGTTGTTTAGAAAAATGACTAGTTCCTCCTTTCCCAGGAGAGTGGGAAGGCCTCACAGCTCTTCCTACCTGTTTCACTCTGCTTTTGGGTCCTGAATGGAATCAGGGGCTGGAGAGCCAGCCTGAGAGTGCTTTTGCTGTTGAGGTGGCAGAAGTGGCTGCTGTGAGCTGTTTCTAGCTGTCCCTACAGAGAGCTTTGATTTCCCAACCCATCCTTGCAGAACCAGCCTGGTCTGCTCTCAGCAATGCCATCACACCCAATAGGGGCCCAGGCAGCAAAGTGGGGTGGGTGGCAGGAATAGCAACATGAGGTGCTGTTGTTTGCTTCTTGCTGCAGAGTTCAACAGCTTTGTAGCTGTGCTGGACAATACAAGCCTTGAATATCTAGTGTTTGTGATTGTCTTCCTTCACTTAGCTCCAAGATAGTGTACCTGGGCTTCTAAGCCATCCGACTGGTGCAGAAATGACCAGCTTTAACTCCTGTCATAGAGAGAGTCTGCTTTCACAGAAGGAGCCAGGGACCTAGCTAGGAATGGAAACAAAAACAGCAACGGTTTGTGCTTGTCTCTGTTCCTTCTTGTTATAACAGGAACTTTCTGGTCTACTGCAAAGATTTGGGTGCTGACCCAAGGTGCATAAACAAACCTGGCGGTTCAAGGTGTTGCAGGGTGTGTTAAAGATTGTGCAGCTATCACAGCCTGTGTCTAACAACTCTTGACTCAGAAGAAGGTGCTCTGTAGAGAACTTGGGAGAAGTTCTCTGTAGAGAACTTTGTTGGAGAGGAAAGGAGGTGGTGGCTTCAGATTTGGGCTAAGGAATTCTTAATGAAAGCACAAGAGCTGGAGCAAACACTCCTGTGCTAAAGGTAACCAATGCAAAGTATGCTGTCAGTCTGGAAAGAAGCAGTGTCACTGAGCACATAAATCATGGATTGTAGATGTTCCCTGACACTGGAGACACCAATGCAACCTGCAGAGCAATATTCTGAAGAGCTAAGTCATTCTTGAAGTAAAACTGACTGCTTCAGATCCTGCTATCCAGGAGTCTTAATCCTAAATGCCAATATCTTCTGAAGAAAGCCTCCTTCCCTTCTCTTCCCTTTTCTTCCCTTCCCTTGGCAGCAGCCTGCTTCAACCAATTTTTCTTTCCCCAGCTGCCCAACATGTTTGGTGACCTTCGTTCCACGTTCATTGCTCTGATGATTGGCTCCTATGCTTCCTCTGCTGTGACTTTTCCAGGAATCAAGGTGAGGCAGCGGGATCGTGACTCACAACTAGTGGTGTTGTGCTGGAGTTTTGCAGCATTTAGCAATAACGTGGCAAGAAAGAGGGACTGTTTGTTAAAGCATTCTTTGAGATGTGCATTTGCAAGATTCAGTTCCTGCCTGTTAAAAACTGCGCACGTGACTGCCTCAAGAACTCAACAAATACTGCAAAGAGAACAGTCTGTTTGCTAATAGACAGTAGAGTTTTAAAGGCGTTAAGTAAAAGTGAAGAACCAAAGATTTTTTTTAATGAAAGGTTGCTTTTTTAAACTCTAAGGAGTATGTACATGTATTTTAATACATATATGTGTATTTATTTTGTGTGGTTGTCACAGGTGGTTGGCTTTAAACACAGTTCTGAGCTTGCACAAAGGACTGAAGGGACAGAAGAGATGGTCACTTGGGCTGCCTTAGTAGATCACTTAGTGGTTCTGAACCAGAGATGTTTCATTGCAGAGTTAGCATAGGGGGGATATAGTAAAGGTAAGGTGGTCTCAAGTGTGCAGGGAAGTTCTTGCTGGCTTTCCAAGGAGAAGGTTCTAGATTAAAACCTTTGATGGGAGTCATCTGCAATACAGCTGCATGCTATTCCAGCTGGACGTCCTGTTGTTGCTCTAGCTGCTCTTAGATGTGAACATGCATCTCTTTCCAAGCCTACACATCACAGAACTGTTCTTTGTTGCCACTTGAGTTAAATGCATTTTAAATGCAGTATGTTTTTCTTTCCCACAGCTTCCTTTCAGACCTCATTGAAAGAATATTGAAGTATCTTTCTGCTCATATAGCCAAAACCATGTTCCCTTGTGATTTCCAGGTTATATATGACTTTGGGGTCTCCTTCATCCTTATTCTGCTTGTCTGGGCAAGCTGTGCAGGACTAGTTTTCCTCAACTGTTTCTTCAATTGGCCACTGGAGCCTTTCCCAGGACCAGAAGACATGGACTATTCGTAAGTGTCCTCTAGACTGGCCTTGAAGGCTAATCCCATTCTTAATCCTCTAGAAAGTGCTGGCATGGCTAATTTAGAGGAGTGGACAGGGAACTCCTTTGCATGTTGTTTATTGCTGCTGTTCCTTCTTAGGTTGAGGATTTATGTCTGCAATTAGCGTTTTGTCTTGACTGGTGCATATCTGTGGAAAGCTGAACTTTCCAAAGCATAGGAATTATGAAAGATGATCTTTCAGTATTTTTAAGTATTTCTACATTGATCTGGGCCAAATTGGCCCAGGGCAAGTATCTCTGTGCTCTGGATCCAGACCATTTGTGGGTTTGTAGGTGGAAACTAGCGAATCCACACATAGCCTTTCTGACTCCTGCAACTTTGCTGCCTCTGATTCCCCATCCTGTGTTGCAGCTGTCATGCTCTTTACTGCCCAACAGGGTGAAAATAAAGTTCAGCTGGCTGGGATTTGACCATAAAATCACTGGGAAGCAGTTTTACAAGCAAGTAACAACTGTGGGACGCCGTCTCAGCGTGGGGAGCTCCATGAAGGGCCAAAAGGAGCCAACAGCCTTGCAAGAGAACAACAAACTCTGTCTGTCTACGGTGGACCTAGAAGTGAAGTGCCAGCCTGACAATACAGGTGTGGTTCCATGAGTGCCCCAGGGATGCTTGTGCTGGCACAAGGCCAGTGGCCTCTCTGCTCCAGACCTATTTATGAGATAGTGAGACGTGATCCATGTGTTGCCAGAGCCACGTGCCAGCTACCATTATTTAAATACAAGTTTAGTTATATAAGGAATCCTGTCCTTGTACATTTGCCTAAATACACTGTATGTTGTTGCCAGTGGTGGGGACAGCAGCATGGGTAACTGGTATGGCTGTGGGAGGACAGTGCAGTTGGTCACTGCTGTCTCTTAAGTAGACTGTTGCCATCATGACCAAGCCTTCCTTCATCAAGGATATGGCCAAAGCAAATAGTTCAAAGCTTCCTTTTGCTGTAATCCACAGAATTAGGTGAGTCTTCCTGCACTTTTGCCCCAGTTACTGGTAGCCAAACTCCAAGCATCTATAGCTGTACATTGCAGATGTTTGTAAGGCACCAGTTAGTTGTTGCTAACTGTGAACTCCTTGGAGCTGCTGCTGGCATGTGGTGTTGGAATGACTAGCTAGGAGAAGACCTACTGACTCAGAGGCCAAAGCCTGTTCTGAAATTGTACATGTTTATGAAGGTATGTTGCCTTCTTCACAGACTCTGTTATTCCTTCTGTAGCTTCTCCCTCCTTCATGAAGAGTGTCTTCAGTCCTATTTTGTTGCTCAGCCTTATCACCATGTGTGTCACTCAGCTGCGGCTCATCTTCTACATGGGAGCCATGAATACCATCCTTGAGTTTCTGTCTGGAGATGAAGATAAAGGTAGGGTAACCTGAAGACTTTTATCTCCTTCCTTGGAACTGGGACCTGACCCAGACTTGGTCCTTGCAAGAGGCCAGTGAGCCTGATTACTCAGCAGATACACCGTGTATGGCAATTAGTGCTGTCAGAGTGTGGCTGACAGCTGCTGGTCAGGTCTAACCAAGGGCTGGAGGTAGCCCAGGACAGAGGGACAGTGAGGCAGACACTTGAATGTCAAGCTAATTTTAGCCCTGTGTCTGTTAAATACTATTCCATGTTATTTCCACAGATGGGTTGTTGAAAGTAGCCTCTCAGGATGGACTGTGATAATTTTTTTTTAAATTGGAAAACCTATTTCGTCAGGTATTTGCTCTGCTTATCCTAAGCAAGCACAAAAGTACAGAGCAGCTGACTCTCATGACTAATGGTTGGACTAGGTGTCTCAGCCCAGCAACGGGGGTGGGAGAAGTGAAGTCATAGCTGTTTTGTGCAGCTTGGTGTGTGCTGGGGAGGCTCAGGGGTGCTCCTGCGCTGGACTCTTCTGTATTTATAGCTCTGATTCAGGACATGGAGCAAACAGGAAAGAGTACATTAGTTTGCTGTTGTTGAAAATACCCAGGATTGCAAAACAAGCCTTTAGCCTTTTTTTTTTTTTTTTGTCCTTTGTAGTAAGATCCAGTTTGAACTTGTTAAATCTGGATTGCATGAAGCTGATAAATCAAGAGGCACTCCTCTGAAAACAGGAGTGAGCTCTGGGGGAGGGAAGGAAATTCAGGAAACTCCAAGTGCCCTGGCATTCCCTGAATTGCTTTGTTTCTTGAGCCTTTGACAGCCTGCAACATTCAGCTCTTTATCTCCTGGCTCAAGAGCCAATTTAGACATTAAACAGTAAACAGGACAAACTTCACACTGCCCACCTTTCCCAACACAGCTTAGTTTTCTGCTTACCTTGTAACTCTTGCACACTGATTTTTTTTTTTTCTTTCTTTTTCCCTTGGTTTGCTCTAGTTATTTCTCTTTCATTTTCTTTCTCCCCTCCTTGGTATTTTAGAATTAATATAAACTATATATGCTGCCGATTCTATTTAGATCAAGTTCCATGTTATAAAAGGGATTGTGCCCTGTGGGTGTATTGTGTATTTTTCTGTGCCACCTTTGAGATTTCTTCACATTTTCCCCTTCCTCCCCATGAATGTAGCCTGGGCTTGCAGTGTAGTCTGCTGTCTTGGTGTTTCCATGGCATCAGCAAAACAGTGGTATTGTCTAGTCGCAGCAGTGTCAGGCTGCAAGAGCAGTTCCAAGACACGTGCAGCTCTCTAGAAGTGTAATCTGTGTGGATTGGGAGAGGATGAGATGCTGCTCCCTTGGATTTCTCATTCTTGTTGCAGTTATTTACTTGAATGTGATTTGTTTAGAGAGCTCCCTCCACCTGCAACTGTTCTCAGGAGCACTCAGCAAGGGAAGAAGAGAATTGAGTCAATCCTGCAAGTGTTATAGTCAAAAAACCCTTAAATATTCCTGGGAGCAGAACAGAAGAGAAGGATGTGGGGATAATAATTCAGATAGGTAATAAAGTCTTTAAGTTGCAGTGAGGGACTGTGTACTTGAAAGTCCTGCTTCCTTTGCAGATTATGGTGACTTAGACCTGTCATGAAATCTAAGGGTGGAAAAAGCAGTCAGCTTGTGCTACTTATCTTTTAAAAACCCCCAAAAGATGGGGGAGAAGCTAAGGAGTTCAGTAACTCTGTAAATGTCTGTGTAATTGTGTTGTAGGAAGGCAGGAGAGAGTAGACCCATTGTGTCTAGAACTTGAAGTTTGGCTGCACCTTTCATAAATTGTCACCTTGCTTTTAGATCTGTTAATACTTGGAGACCTTGGGTAGAATCAGGGTGGGCTAGAAAATTCAGTTGTATGAGGTGCTTGCTCAGGATAGTTTTAAGGGAAAGACATGTAGAACAGTGGCTGTAAAGGGTTGTGCCCTTTGTCTGTTTGCTCTGTCCAGGCATCTACTTCTGTTGGTATTTGCTAGGTATTATTCTCTTTTTTTTATCCTCAGAAAGAATGTTTTTAAGATAAATTGAGGAGGCCCTGTTTTGTAGCAGTTACTGTCTCCTTCTCTCTCTCTTGCTGATCCCACAAATTTCAGTCCCTGCTTCGAGTTGGCTTCTGCTCTTGTTTAGAGCCCAAGATTAAGTGTTCAGAATAGCATGAAGAGGCAAAACACGACAGCGTGGCTTGCTTCTTACTGTCTATTTAAAAAATAACCAGACAACAGCAAATCAGCTCCAGGAGTGTTTGTAGAGGGTGATACCACCTGTCTCTCTGGGCTACAGCAGTTGCTATAATGAGACAGGATGTGGGGCCGCTTCAGGGCTTGCCTTTGTGGAGGTAATGGGGGCATGAATGTGAGGTTGGAGTTAAAAGTTCCTCTTGGTTCCTTTGCCAGGAACTGGATCCAGGAAAGTATTATCAGGTGCCTGCCTGGGCACAGCAAGGCAGCCCTGCTGGGGTTTGCTACAAACATATAGGAGAGGAAAGTCTATTACTCTATTGCTCTCTATTACTAAATTGATTTTGGTGTAAATCCTGGCTGTGCCACTTTGGTTAGATCTAGAAATGTGTTGGGAGGGACAAAGTAAAATTCTTTTTTGTTGTTTTGCTTACAGTGCTAGAACTTGCAAGCACTCTGTGCTGAGATGGGCAGTTTCAGAACTACATCCTTATTTCAGAGCTGTGGTACACTGTGACTCACCAGCCCTTCTGTGCGATGCCTGCAAATCCATCACGTGGGCTGCAGAGGGGAAGTGGAAAAAGCATTGCAGGGTGGGGGAACTCTTCAGTAACAGAAGAAGACAGCTTCTTCTAAGCCTGCTGGCATCAGCTTTCCCTTAGCAAACCATGTAGATGCTTCTCCCACCTTTAATACATTGGGAATTTTAATCAGTTTGAGCTTTAATGATTGCTCTCAGATGCTGTGGGGTTTTTTGCTGCTAATCTCCCTTCCCTCTGCCTCCAAATATGTCAATTCAGCACAAAATGGGTTAGTCCTCACCTTCCCAGCTTGGCTTGTCCTTGCTGGAGCTTCCTGTCTGGAGAAGATGTAGCTGCAGCTCCCAGTAAAGCAGGGAAGGAGATGACTAAGGCAGGGTTGGCTGTGCAGGATATATTTTGTGTAAGAACTTTCCCTGTTGGTCCTAGCCAGAATAAACCTCATGGGCACTAAGCAGTTGCTTAGGGTCCCATTTCTGGAGCCCTACCTGCTGTTGGGCTGATGCTGCTCAGAGAATACTAGTGCAGGATCACAATGGTTGAAGCAAGTATGACCACTCTAATCTCATGCCTCTGGGAGGCTAAATGATGAAGTGGGGCTTTGGTGTTCCAGCTCCTTCAGCCCTGCCTGTAATCCAGTGTGTACATTGGGTCTGGGCTGTTAATGAGGAGGAACAATTTCTTTTCTGTCTTCTTTTTTTTCTCTTGCTGCTACAGTATCACTGAGACTGACAACTCTTTCTGTATTTTTCTCCCCTCCTGCAGTGGCTCTCTACACTTCCATTTTTGGGGTATTGCAACTGCTGTGCTTGCTGACGGCGCCTGTGATCGGGTACATCATGGACTGGCGACTGACAGAATGCGACGATGGCTCAGAAGAGAATGAGGAGAGCAACGCTGAGCAGTGCGTAGTGTGCGCCACACGGGACATGCAGCCACGTAGCAGGCCTCCTCTGCTCTGCAGAGTGTGTTTTGTGGTGAAAGACTGGAAAGAATATTGGTTCATCAGTATAGAAAGCCTGAAGGAAGACTTGATAATTGCAGAGGAAAGGACCAAACTATCTTCTATGTCCACTAAGATCAGTCAAGAAGAGCAAATTTAAATTATAGCAGAGGAGGCTCAGACTTCCCTTCTAGCCTAACAGTAAGAGTAACAGCACTGAAATAATTGCCCAGATGTTCCTCAGCTTCCACTGATGGAGATCCCACCACCTCCCTAGGCAGACCTGTAGCCAAACTGGTTTAGATAGAGTTAATGTGATACGTGGAGAATCTTGCTGTGAGTTTCAGTAGCTGCTGAAGGTGCTTTTTGTAACATCGGTTTTCTTATCCTTCCAGAAATAAGAAGAAAAAGAAAAAACGTGATCGTCAGATCCAGAAAATCACCAATGCCACTAATGCCTTTGCATTCACAAATGTCCTGCTGGTTGGATTTGGAATCACCTGTCTTATTCCTAATCTACCATTGCAGGTGAATATGTCAAATGGATGGGAGTGCTGGAGGGGCTGGCAGTGTGGGTCCTGGCAAAATGACAGGCAGGACAGTGCCAGGAGGTCCTGTGAGCCAGAAGAACCAGCTAGTGGCAGGAGGGCTTTCTGGCACTGGTGGGAGACTTCTGTACTGCTTTGGGAACCCCTCTCTTGGAGTTGAAACAAATAATACCACGCAGTTTACATCTCTCGAGAAAACCTGAAAAAGCAGCTATAGTAAATGTCAGAGTTGATCCACAATTTATTCACACTTAAAAGTTTCTGCAGCTGAGCTGGGTAATAACAAATATTTTCCTACCAAGATCCTCTCAGCGGTGCCTGTGCATTTAACCTGGGCTCCATTTAAGCTGCTGATAGGAAATTTGCTGTAAGAAGCGTGACAGCGAGATATATACATCAGGTTATTTCTGCCTCGAATGCTGTGCCCAATGGTACCTTTGGGATTATAAACCTGTTAAAATGTTTATTCTGTGGCACCGCCTGTATTTGGCAGAGGAGTTTAGTGATTTTATGCTATATTGAAACATGCCCTGATGACGTAGGCAAACAGATTTAGTTTGCTCATACTTGCGTATTGTTCGCAATAACTTGTGGAAAATTAACTAAATCAGCCATGAGTGCAATGAAGAAATGTTGTGACCCTGGCCACAGGTTGCTGGGGAGGTGTCCTTGCAGCAGTGCCATTTACAAAGGAGGTAGATCTCGTGTGTTGTTCACATCGGGGCACTGTGTGTGAGCCTTTGCAAAGTAAGGAAAAGCAGTGCTTTGAGATAGGAGTACAAATTTATTCCCTTGTGCTGATTTTTATAGAATCATAGAATGGTTTGGATTGGAAGGGACCTCAAAGATCATCCAGTTCCAACCCCCCTGCCAGCAGCAGGGACACCTTCCACTAGACCAGGTTGCTCAAAGCCTCATCCAGCCTGGCCTTCAACACTTCCAGGGAGGGGGCATCCACAACTTCCCTGGGCAACCTGTTCCACCCTGTCTGACCACCCTCACAGTGAAGAACTTCTTCCTAATATCTCATCTAAACCTCCCCTCTTTCAGCTTAAACCCATTTCCCCTTGTTTTGTCATTAATTGCCCTTATGAAAAGTACCTCCCCAGCTTTCTTGTAGGCCCCCTTCAGGTACTGGGAGGCTGCTATAAGATCTCCCCAGAGCCTTCTCTTCTCCAGGCTGAACAGCCCCAACTCTCTCAGCCTGTCCTCATAGGAGAGGTGCTCCAGCCCTCGGATCATCCTTCATTTTTCACATTTTCTGGGTTCCTCAAGCCCACCTTTGTGCTAGAAAAATGAACAGCTTTTAGGAATGGTTGTATTTGGGGTCTGATACACTTAGGTGGTATCTAGGGTGTGATGTTGTTCTGTTTCTCTTTCCAGATTCTTTCCTTCATTTTGCACACAATTGTGAGAGGATTCATCCACTCGGCTGTGGGAGGCCTCTACGCAGCTGTGTAAGTCTCTGCTTACCTATAATGTGTGGCTGGCCAGATAAACTGGTTTGGGATGATAAGCTGTCCAGGTGAGAGGGAGATCAGGAAGTGAAGTCTTCATGGTCAGAGGGGAAAAGTGATGCAATTTGTTTCCTCAGTCACCACTGGTTATGACTGTAGCTGGATTAATGTCCTAGCTGATGGTTTCCTTGTTTGGAAACAGCTAACCCCTTTGGCATAGCTACTGCAGTGAGACAGGCACAGCTGTGGACAAGTGTCAGGTGAGACAGGGCTATTGACACTAAGGTTATATAGTAAAAACTCAAGGTTTTTTCTGTCTTATAATGAGTAGCTGTGTGCATGTGTCCAGGTAAAACATTAACATAATTGAATATATTGCTACTGATCTGCTCTGAAATTACGTTGGTATAGCATTGCTCAAGATACCATTACTGAAGCCTACTCCCTTTCCTAGGATAGATCATCCACCCGGTTTCCAACTTATCAGAATTATCAATAGCTGAATCTAAATACTCTTTTCCTTATTAAGCAATGTTTTTTGTTTTGAAAACAAATTTGTCCCTCTTTCCTGAGCTGTTGGGCAGAAACAGTAAGAAAGGGTTATTTTTCAGAGAATCACAGAATCTTTGAGGTGGGAAGGGACCTCTTGAGACCATCTAGTCCAACCCTCATGCTCAAGCAGGGTCAACTAGAGCAGGTTGCCCAGGACTGCATCCAGTTGGATTTTAAGAATCTCTGCAGATGGAGACTCCGCAACTCCACGGACTCCTTCTGTCAAAGGTTTTGGTGCCAGTGGCTGGGGAATCCAGACTAGAAAACTCATCTAAGACTCTTGCTTCAAAAATCCATAAACTTTTGGTTCCCTGGCAGATAGAATCAAAAGATTTTTGTCTTAGGCAAGGTAAATGCCTGTTGCTATACATATCATCATCTTGCTTGTAAACTAATCCTGTTTGACCATCACAACTCTCTGGAGCTTCCCAGAGTGAGGTATTTTTTACTTTGAATGTGACTCCTTTGGATATTTTAAGGCTTTTGATCTAATTCTTTCTTTCCAAGCTTAGTTTAACCTGACCCTTCTTAAACACCGCTCAGTCAAGGAAATTTTGTTCCTGAAAATTTGTTTTTCCATTAGTAGTATCTGATATTTAGCACTTTCCAATCAATGGTATTATTTAGTTTGACATGGGATCAGACTTGCCCTCTAAAGAGGAAAACACATACTAACCTGTTGTGCAGGTTTTACTCACTTCTAAAAGGAGCAAATTGTTATGACCAGATGAAAATGATTGCACAGCTGCAAATGCTGTCATCTGGATAAAAACAGCCCTGCTTTTAACTTGTAAAGATCAACACTCTTTGCAATAGGGACAGTAGTTGTATAAGCACTTCCACCTGCCTACGGTACAGCTGCAAAACAAGTACTGGATCTGATACTTCTTAAATTGGAGAGCTGAGGATGAGAATAGTCTGGAGAGGAAGGCTCCAGCCTTGTTACCAGCTCCATTCTGCTCTAGAGAGCACTGTGCACACCACTGGCTATAGCTAAATACTCTGTAAATTATAAAGAGGTAGTTATACATAAGTCCAAGAGAAAGAAGTTCTTCATATTATTTCTATCTTGGGACTATGCTCTGTTGTGTTGGTTGACCGGGAATGTAATCTGATCTGGGTGATGTGAACATTCAAGGTGACATATAATAATGCTGCTGCTTTCTCTGTTGACAGATACCCCTCTACTCAGTTTGGCAGTTTGACAGGGTTGCAGTCGTTGATCAGTGCCCTCTTCGCCCTTCTGCAACAGCCTCTTTTTATGGCGTTGACGGGACCTTTGGAAGGAGACCCTCTCTGGGCAAGTTTTTTCTCAAATTTAATATGAAGGTTTGGTAGTTCAGATGATTTTTTGGTTATTTCTTTGAAAACAAAAGGACTCCTGGGCATGGGCCAAGGTTAAAAACAGCTGGAATTTTACATGTCCCTGAGTCTGCTGTTACCTTGGTGCTGTCCAGGAGACTCTTCCCTGTGTGACTAATGATTCTCTGGGAGGGAAAGCCATTAACCCTTGTGCTGGTGCGTGGAAAGGGAGGGAGAAGGCTGTAGGAGTGCTTCCTGCTAACAGTTTGTGTGGCAAGTCAAAAATCTGACAGGTAAAAGTGAGTGAATCTGTGTGGACCTCAAAATGCAGTAGAAATACTCTATTCCCTTCAGAGATATTAGCTCCAATTACCAGTAAATTTTGGGTTGCCAATGCTAATGCCCAAAAAGCCAAGTGGCCATTGAGGGTAGGGCTGGTGTGGTGTCTTGATGAGTGTCTGTCTGGGCAGCTCAATAAAATCACGACATGGGTGGTCTTGGGGAGAGTCCTGGTCTCTAGACTACATGCGCCCTCCCCAGTAGCCTATTGCTCTTCAGTCAGCAAACTTGCTGGAAAAGAACTGCAGTTTAAACAGCCCTTAAACAAGACTCCCACAGCCATGATCCAGAGCGACAAACTCTTGCAGCATTTAGTTTAATGGTGCTCTGGGTACAGGAGTGTAAATATAAATACTGTGGAGATTGTTGCCAGTACAGTGAGCAGGGTGTCTCCTGGTTTACCCACAGCTGAGTGACGTGGGCTGGGTTCTGACACTTTGGCATGCGTGACTGGGTTGTCGTCTTTCTAGCCTGCCTAATTTTGTTTTGTCTTTCTTCATGCAGGTGAACGTTGGCTTGCTTGGCGTGAGCTTGCTGGGTTTCTGCCTTCCAATCTACCTGGTCTGCTACAGACGCAGGCTAGAGAGAGAAAAAAAGCAGAAGATGGATGATGCCAAACTTTTCTTCAAAATCAATGGCACTCCCAATGAGGAAGCCTTTGTTTAAACTGGTGCTTCAAACCTGTACAGGTTCCTACCACATCCGTGGGTTCTACCTGTGGTCTAAGCCAGGCTTCTCTCCTGGCGCTGCCAGTCTTTGCTCATCACTGGAGTGAGGGCTGGACATCGTGACTGAGCTTTCTTGAGATACACAGCAGACTTCCCACTCCTCACTCCAGAACATGGGACACTTTTCCTTTTTATAAAGGCCACACAGATATTGTGTCTTAAATTATCCCCTGATCACACTCTCCAGCAGCAGAGTCTCTGCATAGGAATTGGAGAGAGAAGGAAGAGAGGGATGGGAAAAGAGGGAAGAAAGACCATCATTTAAGTTTGCAAATGTAACCCACTGAAGTCTGTTTTTTTTTTTTCCTCTCTCTTCCCCCAACCTTAGCTGACATTGTCTCAGATGCAAGCTGCACCCTCTCCCTCCCTGAGGCTTCATAATGGTCTTGCTACTTGATATGTAGCTGGACCCAGTGGTTTTAACTGTCTACCCAGACATACCCCAGACTGTTTGAGGCAGGGAAGGGGATTTTATTCCTATGTGTATGAGCACAGCTTCAGTGTATTGCTAAACGTTGGCTGCTAGCACTGACAGCTCCCAAACCTTTTATTACTGCAAATGACACAGACTGTGAGCAATGGATCTGCCTTCCACACTGAAATGAAGAGCCCAGTGGACTGCTTGGTCCTACATGAAGCCTTCAGAGGCCTGGAATTCCTCTTCTTCCTGGCCTGCAAACCCCCTGTATGTGTTTTAAACTGTCTGCAGACCTGGAACCTTTGAGATAGGAATTGGATCTCGTTTACCGATGAAGTGCTTTGAGACTTGTTGCCTTTTGCCTCTTCTTCCCTCCAACGTGAACCTAGGAGAGGAGCAGCAGTGTGTATTTAATAACATGGAGAAGCTTCTTGAAGCTGAGTTCTGGGGCTCCCAATACCTTGGTGTTCATGTGTCATGAGTTGACTTGCTGTTGAAAAGAATCGAGAGTGCAGAACACTCCTTTGTCTGGTAACTGGATCCTGTGGACATACGGCAGGGTGATGTGGTGATGTAATTCTTCCTCTAGCCATAGTTTATTTACATTGTTCTGATAATTGGCCCCAAGCTGCTGAACACCAGGTTACTGTGACTGACCAAAAAGCTGCCAGTTTGGCTGCATTAAGAGCCTCCTATGATGTTGATGCTCTGTCTGGACAGAGTACGTGGTGATGATCGTATGGTGAAGCTGACTTACAGAGCAATATGTGTGGATAAAGGTGCCCCAGACCTGTTCACCATGGAAGGAATAGAAAGGGAATTCTTAACCGGCTTATTTTTTATAGAGGTTTTCCTAAGTCTTGTCTAAAGTTGACTTTTCTGCCCTTAACCTTCTTGTTGAGATCGGTAGCTCAGCCTCTGTAGCCTTGTGACTAGCGTTAACCACTGCACCATTTGGACCTGGCTCAGAGCAGGACTGTGCAGCGTTGAGGATGAATGTCACCAGTGGGTGTGCTGGGCTGAGCTGGTGGCTGCGGGAAGGTTGGGGGCAGAAATAAAACAGTTATGAAGATGTAGTGGTGGTGCTTTCTGAACTGCCAACTCCTGCATTGCTGCAAAGCCTGGCAGGGGGTAAATCATTCAACTTCTGTGTGTCTGGTTGGAAAAGTACAAGATTACCCTGTTAGTTCCAAGTCAAGGATTGGAAACAACAGTGCATTTGGACCTTCCTTTGAAAAACTACCTGGAAACTGGGTGTTAACTCCTTTGCTGATGGTTTGAAGCATGCAGATGCTCAGCCCAGCCAGGCCTTCACCTTCCCTAAATAGCAAGCTTGGGGGGCTCTGGCCCAGAGCCTCGGCAGGACAGCTGGAAGCCCTGCAGAGTCCCTGGCTGGTGGCTTTGCCAGCAGAAGATGACGAGGCAGCTTTGTGGGACAGCAGCGCCATCTCCAGCCGCTGCCTCCCGCGGGCAGTTCAGACGCTACCCCACTCCATGGTACCTTTTAGTCTTCAGTCACTTGTCTGGAAGGGACTTGCCACTTGAGTATTTTACACATTTGTGGAATATTTTTTTAATGTGTTGCCTTTATTAAATGTGTTTGTTCCAAGACAGCCTTATTGCCTGCTGTCAACACTTTACTCTTCTATAACTTTTTGTCTTTTGTTGGCCTCTAGGTTTGATTTAGCAAACTTCCTATCTTTTCTTTTGTTTGTGTCAAGCAATAATTAAGGGGACAGAGGTTTGATTCATTTTCCTGTTCACCTGGCATTATCTCAAGTACATGTCCAGAGACCCACCAGCAGTAGTACATCTTGCCTAGATTTCCAGAGGGCTTTCTGCAGATTTCTGCATGTCGTATTACTATACTTACTCCTAAATATTTTGAGAAGATTCCTGCTCTTGCTTAGAGATATTTGTGACATGGCAATGACGGATTAAGTATCTTTTTTTAGTAAGAGCTCAGAGAGGTGAGTGTCTTAGCCACAGTACTCAGACTGTGTCTTAAAATAGAGACAGCTGTTGGAGGGTGCAGTGTGCTAACTCAGCATTACTTCCACCTCAGTTTCAGAATACTGAATGTGATCACTTCCACTCTCATATCACTTGAATTCCTGATATAAATGTCTTTGCAAAATGGTGGAATACGGAGTGGTATATTTTCATGAAGTCACAGTGGAGATGGTGCTGCTTTTGACGTATGTGCAGCTAAATGACTTAAGTTATTTAAATTATTGTATTCCTGCTGTCTACCTCCCTACTGCAGTTCCCCATTCCTGCCCTTTATTAGGAATATCCTCTAACACAGTTTCATTTGATAAAATGGTGGATATGTGGTTGCTGTCTCTGCTGATGTGCCACGGTGTTTAGAAGCTGCTGGTCAGCTGGAAGGAAGAGAGCTCCTGCCTTTGAGTCACAGTTTCAGGCTGTTTGCAGCATGAGAGTAGAGCGTGCCTTTGGCTTGCAGTCACCAGGGCCAGTGGGTACACAGTGAAGTTCTAGGTTGGGGTTGAACAGACAAACAGGAGTGCTGCAAAGTCAAAGTGTGGAATTCAGAACGTGGGGAACAGAAGTATCACTGTTTTTTAAAAAGGGGCTGGTTAAACAATGGTCTGATGCATCTAGTAACTCAGGGAGATTTTAAATTGCTGTAATTAAGAAAGTTATGCCAAGGAAAGATTACTTTTCTACATGCTCTGTCTCTTAAGAATTGGTCAAAGATGGAGAAAATGTATGCTGGGCTTGGTGAAACACTGAGCTGATCTAGTGGGGTTTCATTTTCTCTGGCAGTTGTGAACCAAATGAATTTTAAAAGCAGTCTCAAATTTATCAAAACCATTGTAGCTGTGTGTGTGTGCAAGATGTGCAAATATGCTACTGATTGTGGTGTAACTGCTTAAATGCTGCACCTCCTGCAGGGGTGAGCCCCTCAGAGGGGAGAGTATTCTGGCTTCAGCCTCTTCTACATATTGTCTTGCACGGTGCAGACACTGTCAGGATGGTCCTGTTTGTTACACATGATTGTTCATGGGCCATTTACCTCACTCTTGGATGTTTATGGAAATGTAATTGCAGATTACTTGCGTTTTGGAGTGGAAAACAGCATTGCTGCTTTGTAGCCAAGTGATGCAGAACCAAGAAAATTCCTGATGCACTTCTATGTGCATGAGCCACCTTGTGGAAAAAATGAAATGGGCTACCCAAGACTAAAGAGCCACATCAGTTTATATCAATAATGCATTTATCTGTATAGCTCAAATACAGGTCACTGTGTTTAACTACTTTCATAATGCCTAAATGCTAGAATATGTAGTGTGGGGTTTTTTAATGCCATTTCTCATCCATGCTGGAAGTACAAGGAGGATGGTCATGGCAAAGTCCTCATCTCCTCCATAGAAGCATCCCCAACTGAATGTAATGAAACAGAAACCTGATCTGTGAGTACTTCTGTTTGCAGGAGCCCTCAGAGTCAAGGATGTTGCTGTGTAAAGGTGATTGCACCTTCTGGAAACACTGCTCCTGGCCTCTACAGACTCTCATATGCATTTAATATGCATCTGTATTTAAAAAAAAATATATATATAAAAATTTAAATTAACAGAGTGGGGAAGGGAGAATGACAGTGTTCCCCTTTCACTAGTCTGTCAGTACCTAAGCCCCATTGACACAGTCTTTATAGCACCAATGCAATGATGCTATCAAGAGTAGTAGAGAAAATCTGCTGTTTTGCTTAATAGGACACTTATAACTTTATTCAGTTACTGTCATAAAGTATCTGGATCCTTGACATGAAACTGGGCACATATGTCTGCAAAAAAAAAAAAAAAGGCAAATCTTGCTGAGACTCCAGCTTGACTGCAATGCTGCTACAGCCATTGAAATGTTTAACTCCCACAACAAAGCCTGGCCTCTTCATGCTCTGTCTACAAAGGAAAATTGTAGGATAATGAGATTTTAACTAAGACAGTAAATCACTAAAATGTTTTAAAGTAAGATTTCCCTTTTAACAGCCTGATGAATTTAGAAAATAAGCCACAAAATATAAAGCAGATAGTGTAGGGTAAAAAGAAGGAAATATTTTAAATTCTTTTTTTTTTTTTCTTTGTCTTTTCTGCATCTGCAGAACTTTTGGTTGTCCCTATCCTGGTTTAGAAGTGCAAAGTATTCATAATGGAAACTAATGTTACAGTAGGATTCCTGATGGAAAGGGACTGGGTTTTTTAAAATAATAATTAAAAAAAGCCACTTCTGACTTGTATTTCACAATGTTCTCTTCTCTGGAATAGCTGAAACAATGATGTGTTATGTAGATGCATTATTACATGTTAATTATAAACCTTGTTTTTCTACATGTGCTGCTCAGCCTGTCCGCGCAATCTGTTTTTATCAAGTGTCCTGTGCTCCATGTTGTCATCCTTCCTACTGCTGCTTGTCACTGCCTTGTGCCTGACCCTCTGTCACTTGCTTTTTATTCCTGGGCCAAATCCCCTTTTTCAGAAAGCCCCCTCTTTTTAACCTGACAGCAATTAGCCTCTCCCCACTCCTGTTCACAATTTTTTGTTGTTGTTGTTGTGTTTGTCAGAGTTGAATTGTAAGCTCCTCGGGGCAGGCCTGTGTCATCTTTTCTGTGTTTGTAAGGTGATGTGCACTCTTGCAATACTTTCTAAAAATAAATGTGGTATTAAGTTAATCATTAGTTTTCCTTTTGGGGCTGAACATAATAAAGGTATTGCTGTTCCTAACGAGACTATGTAAGCACGAATGCTTTACACATGGTGTCATCTGCCAGATGGTTTGGCTGTGTGTTTAATGTTTCCTTGACTCACTCTTCTCTATGTTAGGAGCTAACAGCCATTTTTCATTAATCTCTATCTGAGAAAATTTTAATATCTTAATTTTTTTAGTATGTACAGCTGGTTAAGGATCTCAAGCTCAATTATAGAGGATGAACTGTTATAAAATAGTTAAAGATGTGGCCTTAGGAATGCTTAGAAGATGCAGGGTGGCAATAGGGAAACTGCACATCTTGGTTCTCCATGTTTGAGGTGGGTGATGCTAAATGTGTGGCACTTTATTTTTCCAATCAAATAAAGACACTCCTTGCTCTGTGGCAAAGTAGTAAAATTAGTGCTCTTTGATTGAGTACAAGTCACAGATGAGGTTTTTGCAGTTGTCTTCTAGTAAATGTCTGGAGTTGTTATTAATGCTGAGAGCAGCTTGGCTGGCTGCTGCTTGGAAGTGAAAATGAAAGAGGACTGGAAAATGCTGTAAATAGTGACCTGGTGCTAAGGTGGAGCCCCGAAGACACACGTGCAGCCTTGACTTTGCATTAATACCCGCGTCCTTTGTCAGCCCTCCTCCCCACCCTCCGTAAAGAGAGGGGCTTTGAGTCACTGACCAAACGTGCCCGAAACCCGGAGCAGTTTGAGTGCCGGGGAGCGCGTCTCCCTCACGCCGGGCTGAGGGCGGCAGCAGCGCGAGGCGCGCTGAGGGCAACGCTCGCGCCCGCCGGCGCAGAAGGCG